GGTCAGTCTACATACACAACCTGATAGGTACAGAGTCATAGAGAGGTAATGGCCAGTCTACATACCCAACCTGATAGAGTCATAGAGAAGTAAGTATTTGTATGGAGTGACTAAGGGAATACGTTGAAATTTAAATGATATTATGATTACACGAGGCGAATTCCATTGCGACCATAGTTATATATTGTGGTACTTGTATCAAGTAGACGCAGTGATAACAAGCTGTACAATGCGTAAAGTTGCACGCTACATATGCTCATAAAGCCTCAATGATATCCGTACTGAACACTATTGATCCAAACCTGAATAACTGCTGGATCATGTTTAATCAATGAAATTTTTAATTACAACAAATGTGACCTTTTTTACGGTAAGAAAAAAAATAATGCCTGGGCGACTCAAAAATCTCCTTCGATGTTTTTATCAAAGCGTTTTGTACTGTAATTTATGTTTGACATGACGCTGCATTTATCTGACATCATATGTTAGGAATTATTGACGTGCTTTCTGAAAACAAAAGTTAATTCCTACATCAAAACACAATCTAGTAAATAAAATGTCGATTATTGCTTTCTTGGGAGAAGCTTGCTGGCATGCAATGTTAGTTTTGAGATTGGATACTTACATAAAAGAGGCACCGAACCTTGTTCTCAATAGGACTATAGCGATACAATGGCTACTCCAAGCCACACATCAAACAAAACAGGGAGATAAAGCGTTTGATAAAAAAAAATGTAATTATTGCAGGTAATGCTCCACTGATGCGATTTGATGGGGTTTTTTAAAACAAGAAAGTGATATCATAAATACCCTTGATCTCTTTTTCTTTTAAATTGACTTACTAATTATGCTGTTGATGAAACAAAACGTTTATGCTGAAATTGCCCTAGAGTCAACCGGAAAATTAGATACTGTTTGAAAAGAAATTAGTTGGTTTTGTAGTTATTAGGGCTACACATGATACTACGATGAAGGTGTACTTTAACACTTGAACATTTAACGTTGGAGATCAAGAACGGAGAAAAACAAAATCGGGGTCACTTCATGTTACTGAAATACTGACGTCATCACACGTGATTTAAAGCATTCGAGAAACAACAAAAGAACTTTTGACAGGTTTATATCTCAACAAAATAGCATCGCCAGCTAACGACCATGAGACGTCAAGCTCATATCTATTCAAACACCATAATACACCAGTGAAATATAGAAAATATAAGAAAAGGTTGTGTAGATCGATACAACTGTATGAAGACAAAATAAACAAGTTATCAGACGTGTTGCATCAGTTGTTAGTTTGTGCTTTACGTCCTATTAACAACGATAGCCATTTAAGGACTAGCCAGGTTCTGGTGGGGGGAGAAAGCCGGAGTATTCGGAGAAAACCGCCGACCTGCTGAGAGTACCTGGCACCTGGCTCACGAAGGCCCCCAACCCGCGACCCAGTGGTACAGGTAGTGATCGTATACGGTCAGACGCCTTAACCACTAAAACACCCGGCAATTCAAGACAAATATAGACATTTTGAACAATTTAAAAAACTAAAATGAATATGTCTTGAAAGCATACAAAAATATAAGCGTGTACTACTGTTCACAATAAGAGAAACACGAAGAGGACTGTATTAAGAATACAATTCCTCAGTTGGTAAAAATAAAATACTAAGTTTGTTTTGAACAAAACAGTAATGGAAAGCTTATTTTTTGAGGTTTCGAAAACGTCTGTTTCCTTTGTCATCCAAACTACTATTAGTGTTTAAAAACAATTCTATCATAAATAAAGAGGACACGTTCATGCTTAAATCTCCAAAGTGTGCATTTTATCTTTTGCATATAGTAACTATTTTGCTAAGGATTTTGGACAGTGCAAGAAAATCCGGATTACATGTTCGTCACTTTTTAAGTGATGTTTTAATGCAGGGCACATCGTCATCAGTTCAGCTTTCAAATGAAGACAACATAGATAGTATTTCTTTATTTATAATTTATTGATTTATTGAATACACAAACACCGTTTAGATAACGACAGTGAACACACGTCTGTGGAACACGTGAACTGACACCCGCTGGAGTGGTCAGTCGAATTCGAAGCCGTTGTTGATTGTTCCATTTCCGCGACCATTAGTTATCTGACCGCTCTCAACTTTTGACACCTTTTTCTGTTTCACGTACGCCCGCCTCTTAAGGCATATCTCAAATAAGAGGCAAACGAATGACAAAGCTGCGATACAAACATAGACAAGGAAAGGTCCGGCTAGACTGTCGATACCCAACGCTGTAGCAGAACTGGTGCGGCCGGAGACAGAGCACTGGTCTGAACGCGGCCACCACTTCTGTCTCCATTTCTCTATCAGTCCTGCCTCCTGCATACGCATGATACTGCAAGTAAACACATTGCGATCTACAGATGGGTTCCGACTTATATGTTTGCAATATTTTACTATATGAATGAATATAAAGATTTCTTTTTCCACTATCGGATAAGTTTTGAACCTTCTTATAAAATAAAATTCGAGATATATCAGTAGAAATTATTTTAAATCGTTCCACTAAACGGAGATTAGAAAAGCAATCAATAATAATAAAGACATTAAAACCATGCTGTTACGCTCATGCTCATCACTGGATTCAATCTTCGATGATATAATGTAATGCACTTCCGCGTATCAACTGTTTTCATTACACATATATTTCCTAAAGCATTTTGTATACTTTTATATGTCCGATTGACATTTATATATCATTGGAATTAGTAAGTCATGGTTTTGTTATAACTCTTCCCTACAACCTTTGTGTATAACTAATTAATGCATGGTTTAGCGAACAGGAAGAAAATCACTTTTATTCTAACAAGTGAGCTTGTACATAAACTGACATCACACTATGTCATTATCATAGGTGCTCTATTAACACAACAGCAGGAACACACCTTTATCACGAAAATTGATTGGATGCAATATTGACCAATACTCGTTTGTAGAAACCCTTTCGTGTAACAGCTAGTGTAGGATTCGATGACAACTACAACATGCTTCATGCAGAATATTTAACTTCGAAAATTAATCAGTAATTGAACGAAATGCATCAAAAGGTTTACGCCAGAAAGTCATCAAGTAAATGTCGCGAGCTGATTGATTCATTTCAACGAATACGGCATTAAATCATTATTCTCGTGTTAGAATGATCTTAAGTACCATTCTACAACTACATGTTGTCCCAACTCATCTTACGGAAAAACCTGCCATTATACGTTCTATTCAGCTTCCTGAATTATTCAACAGCGTTTGACTGAAACTGCCTGGCATATTTCTGCTGTGGACAGCTAGGGAAGTATACACACGAGAGACATTAGTGAAGGGAATTACTTGTAGTTGAAGCTGTCCAGGTATGGAGCATTTTCCGGCACCACGAATCCATAGCCAGCTGTGTTGAAAATTTCGTCCGCTAGTGCGTAGGTTTTACAATCACTTAAGACGTGGTATTCCAACTGTGACCGGTCAGTCATGTAGGCAGTGTCTGTTTTTCGGACAATGTCCAGTGCATCGTTTGTACTTTTGACCACAGGCATGTCCCCCATCCTGTTCCATATTGTCTTGTAGATACCAGAATCTGCAGTCTGTGGATGTTGAATGAATACTAATTTACTATATACGTCAAACAAATACAGCATACTTTTTAAAACGATGTTGGTATTCACAATATTTAATCTGTTTACATTTTAGATTTTCTTCATTGTTTAACACCACACCAAACATGTGTCCCGTTTTGATACGTAAACGGTCATTTAAAAATTTCTAAAAATATCATGTTCATATATCGGCAGAGTAAATAAAAGGAAGATAGTTACAATGCTTTAACACCATGTTACTTTATACACACAAGAACTTTTTAAAAATAAAATAATCTATATGATTAACGAATAGAAGTTTTTTATAAGTAAATGTAATCAACATAAAGGATCCCACGTTAGTCGCCTCTTACGATCATGCTTCAGGATACAGCAAAGCTTTTCTTTCTCAGGATACAGCAAAGCTT